TAGTTCTAAACCGCTCTTCTTCCAGGAGTACAAATTGTTCTTCCTGGAGTTCCTTTCTACTTTTTGTTTTCATTCCATGTTTTATTTCATATTTCAAGAAGTCCGTTATCTCCTGTTCCACCAATCAATGCAAAAATATACATGACAGATTTCGAGGATTACAAGAAGAACTTTCATGACATAAAGAAGATCGCTGAAGTTGGTACGTTGGTTGTCAAAGCATGTATTGTATATTCTACCATAAGCTCCCGTGTTATCTTATGTTATTATACTGATATGGTTTGTGTCTGAACTACCTGAAAAATATATCTCAAACGTAGAGGTTCAGTGTAGGTAGTATTCTACAATAAGCTGTCGTGGTTTGTGTCTGAACTACCTGAAAATATATATCTCAAATGTGGCGGTTCAGTGTAGGTAGTATTCTACAATAAGCTGTCGTGGTTTGTGTCTGAACTACCTGAAAAAGATATCACAAACGTGGTGGTCCAGTGCAGGTAGTATTCTACAATAAGCTGTTGTGGTTTGTGTCTGAACTACCTGAAAAAGATATCTTAAACGTTGTGGTCCAGGTGGTAGTATTCTACAACAAGCTGCCGTGGTTTGTGTCTGAACTACCTGAAAAAGATATCTCAAACGTGGTGGTCCAGTGTAGGTAGTATTCTACAATAAGCTGTCGTGGTTTGTGTCTGAACTACCTGAAAAAGATATCTCAAACGTGGTGGTCCAGTGTAGGTAGTATTCTACAATAAGCTGTCGTGGTTTGTGTCTGAACTACCTGAAAAAGATATCTCAAACGTGGTGGTCCAGTGTAGGTAGTATTCTACAATAAGCTGTCGTGGTTTGTGTCTGAACTACCTGAAAAAGATATCTCAAACGTGGTGGTCCAGTGTAGGTAGTATTCTACAATAAGCTGTCGTGGTTTGTGTCTGAACTACCTGAAAAAGATATCTCAAACGTGGCGGTCCAGTGTAGGTAGTATTCTACAATAAGCTGTCGTGGTTTGTGTCTGAACTACCTGAAAAAGATATCTCAAACGTGGTGGTCCAGTGTAGGTGGTGTTCTACAATAAGCTGTCGTAGTTTGTGTCTGAACTACCTGAAAATATATATCTCAAATGTGGCGGTTCAGTGTAGGTAGTATTCTACAATAAGCTGTCGTGGTTTGTGTCTGAACTACCTGAAAAAGATATCTCAAACGTCGTGGTCCAGGTAGGTAGTATTCTACAATAAGCTGCCGTGGTTTGTGTCTGAACTACCTGAAAAAGATATCTCAAACGTGGTGGTCCAGTGCAGGTAGTATTCTACAATAAACTGTCGTGGTTTGTGTCTGAACTACCTGAAAAAGATATCGCAAACGTGGTGGTCCAGTGTAGGTATTATTCTACAACAAGCTGTCGTGGTTTGTGTGTGAACTACTGTACCTGAAAAAGATATCTCTAACGTGGAGGTTCAGTGTAGGTAGTATTCTACGACAAGGTACCGGTACTACATTTTTTATATTTTTACTAGCTACTCTGAAGACGACAGTCAATGTAGAATCTCGATGTGATCTGAAGTATTTAAGAATACTTATCGACGAATTTCTCAATAAAGAGGTAAATAAAGTAATGTTCAAACCATCGGCCTGATAATTAATCACCGTCTCTTATCATTGGTTTTGTGGACCGTACCAATAAAGAATAATTATTTGCTTTAAAGAATAAGGAAGGAGTTGACCTTGAAAGCTGCTGGTGTTTTCTAGATGGTAAGTTTCATATATACCGTTATTTTTAACTCACTCAAAGTGTGAATTTTAATCTGCATTGTGAAATAATACATGTAGTTGAAAATTCGTATTTGATTTATATTTAGCTTCGTACAGTGATCGAGTGTACCGAATAGACCCTGCTCAGGTGAGCTTCATTTTAAAGTGCGACTAACCACTAATATGATTTTTGGTATGTGTAATATTTGGGTCATTCGAAAAAGAAATGTAATATATCTTTATAATAAAAAATTCCATCTTGATCAACTTTTTCACTGTCAAAGTTTCCGGATATGATGTCATTAGGTGAATTGCAAATTAGTTTTCCTTTGTTTTTTGTACCAAAAATTTACCTAATGACATCATATCTGGAACTTTGACAGTGAAAAAGTTGATCAAGATGAGGTTTTTAACTATAAAGATACATTACATTTCTTCTCAGAATGACCCAAATATTACACATATCAAAAATTATATTTGGGGTTAGTAGCACTTTAAAGTTTTTATCTATTCAGTTCTTGCAAGCGACATGAATCAGCCGAGATTTATGGAAATTTCTAGAAAGCTTTGTATTATAGGAGGGACTTTATGACGTCACGGACATCTTAGAAGATGGGATATTTATTGTGAAAATTAACGAAGAGGAAGAAGCTGAGAGGTAATAGTACATGATGTTAAACCATTGTTGAAATTTAACAGATGATTGTGTGAAACCAAAACTGCAAAATATGAGAATGGCGTAGTGCATATGAATAGCTGTTATTTTTGTTTCATTCTTTTAGAAGAGTTAAAGAGGATGTTTTAACTCAAGGTAAACTTAAAGAATCCCAAATGGAGCATGAATTGAACTAACTTTATACTGTACAGCTCTATCAATTGTAAACTGTTCTTCCTTTAGGTCCAGTAAGAGTCGTCTCTTATTGATCCAGTTTTACTACAGAAGGAAACTTAAACTAAACTAACTTTATTTTTACTGGATAGCTCTATCAGTTCTGAACTGTTCTTCCTGGAGATCCAGTAAGGGTCATCTCTTATCGATCCAGTGTTACTACAGGAGAAAACTTAAACTAAACTAACTTTATTTATACTAGATAGCTCTATCAGTTCTAAACTGTTCCTCCTAGAAGTCCAGTAAGAGTAATCTCGTATTGATCCAGTGTTACTACAGGAGGAAACTGGGGTATTTGATGAATGCAGCGTTTGTATAAAGTCAAACTGAAAGCACTGAGACTTCTCACATTGTGACTTAGATGAAATGACAATCAGACAACTGCATATTGTAGGTCATGTCATGTGACAGACACATGCACCAACCACTAACATCCAGTCTGTTGAAATAAATTACTATATATTTTGTTTGTTTAGATTTAATCAAAGCTTGCAGTGAGGGAGACTTAAGCAAAGTAAGCTCCTTATATTCTGAAGTAAGCTTTACTCGAATTTTTCGATGGTGAGATTTTTGCACATTAAAATTTCATCTTTTCTGATCATTTTGATACCAGTCTCGATGCGAAATTCAAACTAGAAGTTAGTGAATTTTGTGTTTAAAGATGGGTCCCTCTTGCGAAAAACTGGTTCGCGGTGTGACGTCACACCACTGATCACCAAAGGTCTTTTTTTTCGCAAAGAAAGTGGCAAAATTGGCGACTTCGAAGGCTTATAAAAATAAAGCTACTTGGAGTTTCGGAAAACGGTTTGCATCTTTCGAACCAGTGCAAGAACTCTATAACGTAATGCAAAAAATCTCACCATCAAAAAATTCGTTGCATAAAGGCGGTTTTCCACTAGGCGAAATTTTTCGACCGAATCGAAATTTCTCTTTGTTTCATGAGCTATCAAGCAGAACTAATTGTAAAAAGACAAAGAGAAATTTCGTTTCGGTCGAAAAATTCCGCCTCCTGGAATCAGGCCTTAAGGCCTATAACGAATTAAAAGTTTCTGGCCGTTGCGAAAAGTGTAAGTTTACAAGAAGTTGTAATGAATGCTCGACTACCTGGAATGATTAAGATTCGATTCCTGCCAGATGCCTATATTAGCTATATATGCTTGTATTTTTCGCAACTGCTTCTGGGCAGTTTTGGTAATTTTTTTGGCTGGCATTTGGTAAGTATGACGCCAAACTGCCAAAGCCAGCCGAGTAAAGGGCCTAGGTCTAGTCTGGAAACTGTATGTAATTTTTGCTCAAAATTCCACCTGTTTCCAGGTTGAAAGTGTTCAGCAATCTGGAGTGAGTCTTTCAAGGGCAGATATCTACGGTCGCTCACCTTTACATTACGCTGTCATTAACAACCGACCTGAGGTTGTGGAATATATCGTATCTCATGGTAAGATCTCAATGGTGCGCTGGACTATATGAGAGTTCATTTTTGACTGCATACATTCATAATTGTGCTTGGTTTTTTTTTCAGTCAGTGTTTCCGCGTTAAATCAAGTCGATGACACGTAAGTTGTCAATATGTAGATTTACCACTGATCTGTAATAAGATTGGATAAGGGACCGGTCATTTTTTATGGGGGGGGGGGTGGCACCGAAGAGAAAAGGGTTGGGTAAACAAAATTTTGAGTGAGTAAAAGGTTGGGTAAATGAAAAACAAAACAACTCAAGGGTTGGGTAATAAAAATTTCCAAAGCATGACTCACTGAAATATTGGAGACTAAAAAGCAATGTCAACAGTCATATGTCAATACAATATGTGAATCAATCGGAGTCACTGTCTTGATCACTGGTTTTCAATTTGTTGGGAGACAAATGGTGTCTCCAAAGAAAGTACATGTGCAGACAACATGAAACTTTAGTGTGCAAAAAAATTCACAATCCGTTATCAAACTCATGTCACAGAAGTGGCAAGGGACTTGTGTGACAACTGAATGGTACCATTTTGTAAAGTTTTTGGCCAGGGGTGGGTATTTATTTTTTCATTGATATTTGAGGTTGGGTAATCAAATTTTTTACTTTTTAATGGTCGGGTCAGCAAAATTTTTGCCACGAAAAACATTTCTCTTCGGTGCCAACCCCTACCATAAATAATGACCGGTCCCTAAAGCATCTGTTGTGCATAAGTGAAGCCAATGGCGGCCATATTGGATGGCCCCACCATTAATCTAATCCAAGGCCGGGGAGGCGGCAGGGGGGGGGGCAAAATTCCCGGGGCCCGGAGTGCTCAGAGGGGCCCGGAAATCTCGGTAAAATGTGCGTAATGCTTATCGCTTTATGTTTGTCCTAAATGAAACACGCTATCCTCTGATCGTCGTCATCGATCGTAAAACGTACCAAATGTGAAATTAATAAACGATTTTTCGATCGTTCTCTCAGCAAAATCATAAACTGAACATCGATCGTTCACATTGCGTTTTTTTATCAGTTATGCGGCGGTTTCTTGCAAGTAATTCGCTGGCAATTCGCTCGTTGATTGCGATTCAAAATAGCCAGCGGTCGAGAGTCGAGAGGGACAGGTGGCCCGTGTTCACCAATCGTCATTTTGTCCCGGGGCCCGTGGTTGGCTCTCGTCGACCTTGATCTAATCTGGTGTTGTGGACATGTTTAACTCTTCCTTTATGTTTCTAATCACTAGTGGGAAAAGACAAATATTGCCTAGATAAGAATTTATCCTCACTATAGCCTCTCTTTTTTCCCACATTTTCCGGTGAATAACTAATGAGGCCATCAAATATGGCTGCCATAAGCCTCATTATGTGGTGTATAAAACGTTCTAAAACTACTTCGAGGAGGTTTTGGAAGCTATATTTGACAAGTCACATAGGCGAAGACATTTGCTTTATAGTCTATCTGAACTTAAACAGCAAACGATTAGACTGGTCATGAATTTGACTGATTTATAAAGCTCATCTCATTAAAATATTCTGGCTTCAAAATCGGATTACTGAATTCAATAGGATGCTTTATCCAGTCTTATTTCAGATCAGTGATATTTACAGACAATGACAGATGGTCGAAGAGACCATCTCAATATCTCCAAGCGAAATCGATACCTTCACTGCCAGCTTAGCTGTTCTTAATGCTTTCCCAACCCTATATCAAGTTAAAACATAGTTGGAACACTCATCATATTTTGTTAATCTAGAGTTCGAAATGTCCCCTGTGACAATGCGTGACTGCAAACTCTCATCCTCGTGAATATAATTTGACATCGCTTATTCTCATTCTAGTGGACAGACGGCGTTGCATAAAGCTGCCATATTTCGAGTGCCATCAATATGCACGACCCTAGTGCACGCCGGGGCGGATATTGCAAGAAAGGATTACAATGTAAGAGAGATTTTTTGTGCATCTCGTTCCATCAAACTAATAGTACATGGGGTTCTTTTGTAGATGAAATTTTACAAGATATACATTTTAGACGTTTTATGTTAGTCCGTCCTTAGTGTAAATCGTGCCAATGTGAACTTAAAACCCTAATTGAATTGTTTTGTGTTGCATCTCATCAATTGTACTTGTTCTCTTCAGGGGAATACCGCTGCAATGATAGCCACAGAAATGGGAAATAATAAATTGTCAAGTTATTTGCTGGGTAGGTTTAATTTTGCAATATGGGAGAACAGTTTAGAACTGATAGAGTTATCTAGTATAAATAAAGTTAGTTTAGTTTAGGTTTTCTCCTGTAGTAACACTGGATCAATAAGAGATGATGCTTACTAGACCTCTAGGAAGAACAGTTTAGAACTGATAGAGCTATCCAGTATAAATATAGTTAGTTTAGTTTAGGTTTCCTCCTGTAGTAACACTGGATCAGTAAGAGATGATCCTTACTCGACCTCTAGGGGAAACAGTTTAGAACTGATAGAGCTATCCAGTATAAATAAAGTTTGTTTAGTTTAGGTTTCCTTCTGTAGTAACACTGGATCAATAAGAGATGATGCTTACTGGACCTCTAGGGAGAACAGTTTAGAACTGATAGAGAGCTATCCAGTATATGAATAAAGTTAGTTTAGTTTAGGTTTTCTCCTGTAGTAACACTGGATCAATTAGAGATGATTGACTCTTACTGGACCTCTAGGAAGAACAGTTTAGAACTTATAGAGCTATCCAGTGAAAATGTTAGTTCAGTAGCATAACTTTGTTTTTCAGAACAAGAGAAGTCGCAGGAAGAGGACAGTGACGGTCAGGAGACATCGGTATGACGTCATTGGATGTCTGGGAGCACATACACATCACATGACACGCTGGGAAGTATTTGAATATTTCTTTACATGTATCAAAATATCAGTTTATGCAACTGCGCTGTATCTTCGCAGGAATCTGTTGTTGATTCTTGCCAGGTTGAAAAAAATGATCGATCCATCGTCAGCCAATGTTGAACATTGCCAATGTTCAGGCAGTCCCAAGAATGCTGCGTTGGAGCAACATTTGGAATGATTTGAATGACACTTGATATTTTTTCACAAGAATCAACAACAGGATTAGTGTCACGCCATGGTATCATGGATTTTGGTATTATTTTTATCTTCGATGTTCTGCCTAAATCAAGAAATAACGTTAAAAATACCATGTGTGGTAGCTACATTTTCAATAAGAATCGAGGATTCTCAAATGATGGTGTAAATATTTAATGGTTTAAATATTTACCTACAAATCGAACCTGCAATATCCATGGTGTGACACTAATCTTTTTAATCCCGCATCGAACCTCGGCCATCCTAAACTCCGCGTATAAAGCTTTTTACTGTATAGTGAACAACTTAGATATCCGAATTTATGTCCGGGGGAAAATGGTCAAAACGCGCTATACTGAATGTCAAAACAAGTAGGACACTGAGCTGTATTAGCAACTGGGGTATCTACTCAAATTTAAAGTAGATGAACATAATCCCGGAACAAATTGAGAATATATTAAGTAGCGGAATTTCTGTTATATCCCATGCATCTTTCGCGCACAATAGGGCTGGGTTAGGGTAGGGGGCTGGGATTAGGGTTAAAATCAATGAGAAATGTATTTGTGCCCGTAACATGAGGGTATTAGCGAAGCTCTGAAATATCGCTCTGAACGCATCAACTTAAACTGTAATATCGCTCTGAACGCATCAACTTAAACTGGAGTGTTATTTAAATACAATCACACTAGAACTCAGTTAGAGTTTCGTCTATAATTCGCTCGGCCGTTTTCGCCAAAATCGTAAAATAAGAAGGTTCGAGGAGTCTCAGTGATATAATTTTAGTTAGACCTTCCTACGAAGGGGCTGTACAGAACATAATGTGAATGTTTTTAATAAATGAATGGCTCGAAAAGAAATCTTCTTTTTGGTTTGAATAAATTACAAAAAAATGTTAAATCGGTAGCAAGGTAGGACAGTACAAAGACAAGATTCCCGAAGATTAAGATTTAAAATCTCGTATACTTATTCAGAAAAAATAAGAATTCATCACCAATCTCTGTAGACTTGAGATAGCTCAACTGTAGCCGGAGCAGTGGACTAGATTCCTGAAGGTTGAGAGTTAAATTTTGTGTACTTATAAAGGATAAGAATTCATCACCAATCTCTGTAGGCTTGGTAGCTTAACAGGTGGGGCAGTGGACGGTGAATTCCTGAAGGCTACGAGTTCAAATCTCGTGTATTTATAGAGACACCTTAAGACTGACGTTTATTTTATTTACGCCTAACCGCAAACCGCGGTTTGCCTTTAGCTGTTTCACGTTTGCCGTGCTTGCAAATATGAAATTAAGATTGACGTTTTTCTTTGCGTTCAATTTTTTTCAGTCGAAACTATAGGATCCATTTGAATTGTGCCATCCGGTCAAAAAAACAAATGTCACTACCAATGTGTTAAAATGAACTGAAATATGAAAGTATAAATGTAAGTAAGAAATATGCAAGTATGTTCAAACACGGACTGTGAAAAGGTCATCAATGATTTTGAACTTGCTTTATCCTGAATGTTCAAATGTAAACGTTTATTAATTAAAACGATTCAAAACACGACTTAAAATAAACAAATCTCAATTTAAGAAATCTATCATACCAAAATCGGGCACAAAATATTGAATTGACAATCGAAAATTTCATGTTTGCTTAACGCAAATAAATTAGAGAGTCGAATTTATACATGGTTCGGTTAAAAGCACTCAGAATATGAAAAATTTCCTGTTAAAAACAACTTTTATCCATCCAAATCAAAGATAAAATAAGATGTATATTTGTCTTAATATATTTCATATATAACGTGCAATGAAGTAATAACAGTTGAATAAAATGCTGAGGTAAATCACTTACCTGTAGAATGCACTCTTGAGGTTTAAAACGTGACCGATTTATTTATTTACTTTGCCATCATACTTATACATCCATTGGCTGGGAAACCACAACAGCTATTGCCAATTTACGGCGAACGTGACGGCACAGAATAGGAAGTTATACCAGAAGCGTAACTCGAGCAAATATTTGTCCGCGTTTTTACAAGCGATTCGTCATCATATTCGTCATCAATCACGCTATCCTGGCTAGTACAACCGGCACTTTGTACCTACCAAATCCTAAAAAAACTTCCGGCTGTACTAGCCAGGATGGCGTGGCCTGACGTGAGCGAGTTAAAAATTTTCGTGGACGTCAAACAATAAGGGAAACGACTAGAGTTACGCTTCTGGTATAACTTCCTATTCTGTGGTGACGGCAAGCTCCTGGTCACGTGGTTTCTAGCGGTTAGACGTTTGCGAAAAATACGTCAATCTTAAGGTGTCTATTCCTGAAGGTTGAGAGTTTAAATCTTGTGTACTTACTATATAAAGGATTTTTACTCATCACCAATCTCTGTCGGGTTGATAGCTCAATAGGTTCTGTTCTCATTTGACTAGATTCTTGAAGGTTGAGAGTTTAATTCTCGTGTATTTATAAAGGATAAGAACTCGCTAGCTAATTAACAGGTGGAACAGTGGACTTGATTATGAAAGCTGTGAGTTTATATCTCGTGTATTTCTAAACGATAAGAGTTTGCTACCGATATCTGTAGGCTTGATATAGTTCAAAGGCAACTGAAATTTTTCAAAGGGTTGAAAGTTCAGTTTTTCTAAGAGCTCGTGTTGAAAAACAAGACTTGTAACGTATAAAAACTCTGAGGGGTTTTGTTGTCAAATAGCATGCAAGGGGAGTGGTCTATTAATGCGATTTAAAACACCGAAGATTGTGTTGAAAAACGAGTGGTAGCCGAAGACGTGGCTTGAGTTTTTTTAGGCCTGCTTCACACTGGCAATTTCGTCCGCGATTTTGTGTTTCTAAAGACCCATACAGATATCGCGTCGCCAAATCGCGTCCTGTCTGTATGGGCCTTAACGGATGCAAAAGTATAGAGTCGCTTTTCAGAAGTAAACAATTCTTCTGCATGTCATTCATTGGGCATTTGTCAGAAGGAGAAACTACTATCGCGGACAGAATTACTAGTGTTAACCAAGCTTTAAGATCACTGATCAATGAACTTCTAAAGTATATGGTAATATAAATTCTCAACTGACGAACTAGTGGACCTCACTGAGAATATTCAAACGAACGCTTATTAGTGTGGCATCAAGACAGCGATATAGTCAACATGGCAGCTAGAAGCGAGTGGGAAGTGATAGGATTAATCGGCCGGCCGGAAATTTTTTCTATTTTTAGGGTCTGCGAAAATCATGCATTTCAAACGTTTATGATAATCTGAAATGCACAGGTTTGGTATATTTTATGTCATAGATGGAAAGCATTAAGAGGTTAACCCCCCATCTAGTTTCTCCTCAATTTTGAAAGGATCAAAAAAATTGGTTCTCGGAAGAAAGGTGGGGCCGCACCCCCATTCCCTCCGCGGGTGCGCCCGTGGACATGGTACTTGAATGTTACGATTTTTTATTAGCTTAAAAAATATATAGCATTGATAAAAACATATAAAGATATGATCAGAGGATTGGACAATAGCCCTGACATCCCATATACACAAGGCTATCCGTTTTACAAGTCAAATACACAACATATTATGTTAATAATTTTATGGGTGGCTCCAAAACAGGCCTTATAATTGCTAGAAGGCCAAGTCCTAATTAATATGCCGCAATTTTAGATATTCACACACCCATTTTAATTCGAATCTCCTGTGAAAGAATATTGTATTATTGAAATTAGCAAAATTGTGGGAAGAAAGTATTAAGAATATAGCAGACGTGTTGTATCAGATATACAAACTCGAGCCGAAGGCAATGAATTTGGAAACGTCAGAATTTCAACAGTTGTGTTTTATTAAGAAATTATTCAAAAAGAAGTTAATTTCGATTCATGGAGAAAAAACTGTTATGCAAATCAGGAGAATTTGTATATCTATGCAATACTTTATTAAACATTGATTTCTTTTCCATTTTCTTCATGAATTGTTAACGAGTTTATATTGAGAGTGTTGTGCTGGTCTTTAGCAATTGCTTGTCAATATAAATAAGTTGACACTTCGTCACATCGTGAACATTGAATCACACAATTAATAGCAGGTTGGGGAAAAACTTAAAACAGAGCGCTTCGGTCGTCTAATTTGGGCCATGTACCGCGTCGGAAAAGTCAATTGAAAACATACAACTGAACGCAATGTAAAAAACATGTAGTTTATTTACAGTATTATATTTACAGCAAATTAGGTTTAAAAATACACTACAGACGCAAATGTTTTCGCTTTAAAAAACCTGTTAAAATTTTGACGCAGTTTTTTCATGCAGTCGCGAGACTTAAACTTTAAAAGCGCCTTACTTCAAAGTTACCGTTGACACAACTCAATCGGTGAGGACATGCGATAAGTTTATTATCCATCATAATTTGAAGTGTCTGTCAGATCGTTTACGCAGATAAGACAACAAATTATTTGCGCATCTAATGCGTGCCTAATTATAGTGATGTGCGCAAATTTGAATGATGTGCGCAAATTTGAATAATATGCGCAAATTTGCATAATATGCCCAAATTGCGCAAAACAACATGCTTTTTAATCAAACAAGCGTAGATGCTTGCAGAGATGCATGCGGTGTAAGCATTTACGGAATTTTATTTTGTTGTAACCTGTGCACGCAATCTCGAGTGCGTATCAGGTATACATGCTCACGAGATGACAGAAAGCTTAATAGCGATGATTCCTATCACAGGTCATGAGTGTTACATTCTCATGTTATAATCTAATTTCTAGCTCAGACTACTGTCATCGAGGCTCGCTTAGCGCCGCAAACAATTCGGTATGTGACCGATTTTGGCGCACAACCCATGCAAGGGAATTTCCGCTCGTGACATTCCTACATGTCAACACAGCACGTCAGCTGGCGCTGGCCAAGTGGAAAGGTTATATTTGTACTTCACTCGTGTTTCGTGGGTCGTGCGTTAGCAAGCTAACTTTATACTGCATAACTCTTGTTCCCTAGACAAGGTTCAGTAAGGGCCATCGATAAATGTTACTCCAAACTTACAAAGAATATTGCAGAATTATTCTTTTCAATATTTCTGAAAATATTTTACCAAAACGTTGTCATTGATAACAAGGAAATAAAAACAGCCAATTTGTATTGAAGTTTCAAGTTTAAATCCTGGTTTGTTTGACAAGGTATAGCGCACTCGAAGTGGAGTTTATTATGTGATTTCAAATACCGAACGGTTGTTTGAAAAACGAGGCGCGATAACCGAGTGTTTAGTATTCTTTGAGGTAATTTTAAAATGACTGTATTAAATTAAACGACTTCGTGTGTATGGTGTCACTTCACAAACGAAGAAATTTAACACGAAAATGACTTATCTTATGAACGTTTATAATTCTGTGGCATTAGGAAAATGATAATTAGGTGGTATTTCTCTTTGCCTTTTGTACGTCAAAATGTGAATGTAATTCGTTCAAGGAATATATTCATTGACTTAAACCAAGGTCAGGGGAAATGTCCGTCAAATATACCCTGCTTCCTTTGTAGACTTCAACTTTAGTTTAATCTTTTAATTTAAGTAGCATTTCAATGGGATTTATAAAATTTTAGGCAAGATTTTTAGCTAAACAAACAAAAAGCTGACCAAGTTCCAACTTGCGCTTATCATGCGCCGGTCTTAAACTATGGAAATGACGTAAACTCACTGTTTGATGTTCAGCATATGAACAGTTCGACAGCCCCGGACAGTAGAGGATGAGACCCTTGATGAGAGTTGGCAGGCACGCATTATTACAGGGGACATTTCGAACTCTAGATTAGCAAACTATAGGTTTGATAAGTGTTCCAGCCACGTTCTAACTTAAATAGAATACATGATAGTGTTGGGAAAGCATTAAAAAAACAGCTACCCAAGCTCGCGTGACTTGCCAGTTCTCGTCTGATCCGGCCCCACGATGGCACGACTCGCGGCCTCGACCAACGAGACACGAGAAAAACCCAAAGCCCGCTTTAGAATAAACTATGCGCGTCGCAACTTAAATGTCCTGACGGGAGACGAGCTTTCCAGCCTTCTGAATAATTACGTTTTACAAAATATCGCTGCCAGCGTTCTATTGAGCAAATTTGTAGTGTATAAGGAGTCTAAGCGTTCGCAATTTTCTACAGCGCGTCTTCCACACAGGCGGCCAAAGGCAGTCCTTTCACACGTATCATAGCATAAACGTTTGTTTCACTTATCTCGTTCGAGTGGCTGTTGACACATTTCAAGTACTTTGTAAACATTATGTTTCCTTTTTGTTCCAAGTGCGCGTCACATTCGTGACAATTCGCAGAGAAAATCTGTAAGATGCTCAAACGCACCCTTTCATCGCGTTGATATACTTTTTTACACTTGTAATCTGTTACACCAAGTTCTTGACACGTTTCAAGTGCCTTGTAAATATTATATTTCCTTTTTGACGAGGTACACGTCAAATTCATCACGATTTAGATCGTCGTATAGGAGCTCTCTGAGGTGATCAAAAGCGCTCATATCGCTCAGTTGTCCGACGCGTGCAGTTGAACTTGCGTGAGAAATTGTTGGACGCTGTGCGGCTTCGCACGCGATCACCGTCGAAGGCCTTGCTTGGGATTCTCTTACGGTGATAGCCTCTTGCGCACGCCATGCATGATTTGAACCTGCGACAAAACCGTTGTATTTTTCTTGTGGATATGTTGGGGTTGTAGCTGGAGAGTACGGGTAAGGCGACTTTTCACCGCCATGTACTCCTTTCCCCTCTACCGGTGGGGTTGAGAGGTTTATATAAGTCTTCTTGCTGCTTTCTGCTTCAAATCTCGGGCTAGTTTGCCGTACACCGCTCATTGTTTGAGGGTGAACTTGCTGCGCATAGTCGTCCTCTGTTTGCGGGTAAGTCGGTGGAGAAAGGTAGACGCTGCTAGTTTGGCTTTCGGGGCTACCTTGGGGGCTGTAGGGTCTCTCTACTCGGTTCAGATGAAGCTGGTGGTTGTGCGGAGCTGGCGAACCGCCGTGGTTTGATAGATGATGCGGGATAACCGCGTCTGGTGATATGGAGTGATTAGCAAGGTGGTTTAGCATCCTAAAAAATACACAGAAATGATTTAGGCTGCGCGGTTTTGCACTATAACGCTACGGTAGCTTCCCGTAACCGGTTGTCATTTGTAGCCGTAGTTGGTACTCGGCAAACCACTCCGTTATAGAGTAAACGCAATACTAAAAAACGTAATGCATTTTTAACGGAATTTTAGGCGTTGTAGTATAGTGTAAACGCGGTCTAGTACGCCATCATTTATCGGGCAAATCATTGATTTTGCGCAGGAATAGCATAGTCTGAACTCAATTTGCGAATTTTTTCAACTTTTTCCATTGAGGACCAAATTATGTCATTTGGTTAAAATGGTGAATTAGATTGTTCACATGGCTATAATTCATGTTCAACGGCGCTTGATATGATAATTTATGTTACCTTGTTTACACTATGGAACTAGTTTCTTTCGGATCAAAGTGTGTGACAGCTAGTGTTAACCTCGTTCAAAGACTTAAGACTGGTTTATCGACTATCGACGTTTCTTTGATCAAAGTGTGTGACAGTGTTAACCTCGTTCAAAGACTTAAGGCTGGTTTAGACTATCGACGTTTCTTTGATCAAAGTGCGTGACAGTGTTAACCTCTTTCAAAGACTTAAGACTGGTTTAGACTATCGAAAGTTTCTTTGATCAAAGTGTGTGACAGTGTTAACCTCTTTCAAAGACTTAAGACTGGTTTAGACTATCGAAAGTTTCTTTGATCAAAGTGTGTGACAGTATTAACCTCTTTCAAAGACTTAAGGCTGGTTAATTTACACCATAGAAGTTTCCTTGTTCAAAGTGTATGACAATGTAAACCTTTTCCATTAACAGTATTAAAGCTTTTATGATAAAAAAATGCTTTGATTAATGTCTATATAGATAAAGTCAAATTTTGCTTTGAATTTGATGTACAAATACTGTTTTTTTGAGAAGTTATAAAATAGTATTAGTATTCTCGAAGTCGTTTTTTCCAAGAAGTTAAACTCTATGCTTCTACATGGTTCATTGGTTTGAACAGAATAAAAATATGGTAATATACCCTTACCCATGGTTATTCGGTGAGGCGGGGTGGCCTGCCATATGATGTGGTCCCGCAGTATTGGGGGAAGGTGGATGACTCAATGGGGGTACGGGACTATAGATATACCTGGGAGGGACACCTCCACCCTCGACATATTGACTTGGGTCTGGGAAACGGAAACGGTTACTGGAGGGGACCACGGAGACATTGGGTACCGCGGGGTAATAGGGCCGGGGGAACGACGCGTAGGGATGGGGGAAGCCAGCACAGCCCATCTTTTTCGCTTCCTTCTTTGGAGTGTAGCGATAATTTGGATGTTCTTTCATGTGGAGTATTCGTAACCTAGAAACACATCGGAGCAAGGGTTAGTTTTATACAATTCAGATACCCACTTGTCTAGTTTTCGCTGTGGTGTAAGCATGCACAGAATGAAACAAAAGTAACCATTTAAAATCTATACCGTAGTGTATTTTCAGATACTGACTCGCATACCTTAGTTACTATTCTAGAGGTATTGAGCATATAATGGAACGAAGGTAACCAAGCATTTCAAATTTATATGTGAATATATTTTCGGATAACTATATGTAAGCATAGAAATAAGCCAAGCTAACCAAGCATTTAAAATCTGTGCCTGAGTGCATTTTCGGATAATTCACATTCCAAAAGTTACTATTCTGTATTGATAATGTAAGCATTTCAAATTTATATGTGAGTATATTTTCGGATAACTATAGTCTATGCGCATGTCTAGTTGCCACTGTTCTGATAATGTAAGCATTTAGAAACTATATATAAGCCAAGCTAACCAAGCATTTAAAATCTGTGCCTGAGTGCGTCTTCGGATAACTCACACGTCTAGTTACCACAGTACTAATAATACAAGCATAGAATAAACCAAAGGTAACCATTATAAATGGGAGGAATCATTGAACTAATGCATGTTTAAGACCATTGCCATTCAATTCATATTTTGGGCTAACTCGCATGCCTAATTAGCATATTTTCCGTCATTTGTTCTCGTTACTACAAAAACATTTAACACTTGTCACGATGTATGCAAAGCAGCATACATGAAACTATATAGTTTTTGCGGGTTTCAAATAAGCTCTGTCACGCAGCAGATGGTGGTCGATCCACAGTTTTCAGAGTGAAAAAGCTATTTCTTTTTATTCTATGCTGTTGTCTTGGAAAGAGAGAAATATAATTGAATGGTTTGCTTTTAATTTCTTCTTATACATGTTACTACATTTCTGAAGTTGCCTATACCATCAGCTGTTCTGTGTGCTTACAGTTACAGAAACCTATCTAAATACTCGTGCTTGACCGTGTCTCTGTCCAAGACAGTAGAGATTTTAAGATTGCGGCAGACCAGCAACAGATCTGGGCAAATGGCAAATCGTATTTTGAAGTCGACTGTTAGTCTGTTAGCTTTTCGAAGTTAGGACTATTTGCATGTGCGTGAATATTGAAGCAAGAATTAGTTGTCCAAAACTTGTAGAACGTTCCCAAGCTCATTAATAATTCATGAAGGAAATCATTCAAAAGAAATGCATATTTATTCTGTATTATTTATAGAAACAAGAGGAAGGTTACGGCTGTTTTTCGTCAACTTTAAACTCGATTTTGTCTCAAAGTATTGATTCGTTTGAAAAGCTATATCCAACACTCGCAACTGTTCTTCCTCTGATTTCTAAATTGACAGACAAGATGGTAAAAAAAACTCTGCATGCTTCGCCTTTCAACCTGTTTGTAAGAACACTTACTCGTGTTGGATATAGTACTTCAAATACGATTTGAAGTTTACTCTTTGCAATTATAGCTGGCTGTCGTAAACATCAATCTTAAAGTCCCTAGTTTGGTTCCACATTACGTATATACCTTTCAGCCTTCTCTACAAACGGTCTTTTTTCCTTGGTCGTGAGTTCGTTCCACGCTTTGCCCAGCATTTTACTGATCTCAGCATTATGCAACTTCGGGTTTTCTTCGGCAAATTTTCGTCGCATAACTTTGGCCCAGACCATGAAGCTGTTCATAGGACGTTTCACGTGCATATCATCGCATTCTTGCGGAGCTCCCGCAAATTGTCCTGGGTGTCTTGGATGTGGGCTGTAACACCAGTCGTTGTACCACATACTGAAGCTTTTGTAGAGATCTATACAAGAAGAATTTCAAAAACGATGTAATCTTAGGTTCCAGTGTAGGTAGTATTCTTCAATAAGCTGTCGTGGTTTGTGTCTGAACTATACCTGAAAAAGATATCTCAAACGTGGTGGTTCAGTGTAGGTAGGTAGTATTCTACAATAAGCTGTCGTGGTTTGTGTCTGAACTGCCTGAAAAATATATCTCAAATGTGGTGATCCAGTGTAGGTAGTATTCTATACAATAAGCTGTCGTGGTTTGTGTCTGAACTACCTAAAAAGATCTCTCAAATGTGGTGTTCCAGTGTAGGTAGTATTCTACAATAAGCCGCCGTGGTTTGTGTCTGAACTACCTAAAAAGGTATCTCAAATGTGGTGGTCCAGTGTAGCTAGTATTTTACAATAAGCCGCCGTGGTTTGTGTCTGAGCTTTCCTAAAAAGATCTTTGAAACGTGGTGGTCCAGTGTAGGTAGTATTCTACAATAAATTGTAGTGATTTGTGTCTGAACTACCTGAAAAAGATATCTCAAATATACAACTCTGATAAAAAAAGGCCAATGGCGTTATGGCGGTGGAAATAAAGCTATATAGACGAGTCTTGTGCTTGTCTTCTATTATCTGTCAACGTCCAAAGCCCATTGCCAGTACCATAAGCACAAGAATAGACAAATCCTTCTAGAAACGCAGCACATATGTTTCTTCATAAACACAACAAAAGCACACTGTGTCTTTGAGCTTCACATGAGATGCGACAAAAATACAAAACTCTGCTTCATTGAAAAGACTGGCTTGTGGGTTTTTCTCGCGTTTGCGCTCGACTCGTCGCAGAAAAAAAACACGTTTAAGGCACTGTAGAAATTGCTAGCAACCCAGATTTTAACGTACAACATTTTCACCGGCAAGAATTCGTTCTTTCGTGCCAACTTTTGGAGGAACAGATTTTTTCCCGTTTCTCTAATTTCGTCAGTTTTTATCAGAAAATGATATTTTTTTCTTTTGGAGGAAAGCGACAAAAAACGCCAGATATTATTAAAAGTTTATATTCGCACTCAAATTTTATACCGTCTATATAAACTTTGGTACATATGTGCCCCCATTTGAGAGAAAATTCTCGTTATGCGAATTTGCGAAGTACAAACCTCAGTAGAAGTTCAATGCTTTCGTAAAAGGCAGTGATAGCAATAATCTTATAGGTTTTTTAGTAGACATGCATTTTGTAAAAGCAAAACTTTTGAAATTTACTTGAAAGTAGTGAACGTTTAATAATACCTCTTAATTCTATTGATCGCTTTTCTTCAAGTAAAAGTTGATATGTGAGTTTTCTGTTGTTTTATTTTCGCCTTTTCGAAGTAAATTTGATGTTACTAAGGGCGAAGCATGACAATGAATGGGCTTTTGTAAAGCCAGACAGAATGTTGACCGTGCAAAACACACAAGGAACCAATAGCAGACTAATTCATAAATTATTTCCTTCCTTTATTATTTAATTGTTTTTCTATAAACCTATATATAAAGCATTTGTTTTTATTAGCGCAAAATATGCAAATTTCTGTGCAATTCTAATTGCACATGCAAGATGCATTCTTTTATGCTTCAGTTCACTTCAGTAAAACAGGAACATTTTTTATAAAGCTGTTCCTATCCGCAAAAGCATTAAATCGCAAACCGCAATTGATATATAATTTCTCTACACATAAACAAAATTATTTATTGTATTTTTTTTAATGCTGGTTGGGTACTCTTGACTCAGCATGTTAACTTTTTAGCTAGTTAACAACACATGGGAATGAACTGATTTTTACATAATTCTGTACCAGTTTGCGCTGGCGTGCTTCAGCTTTAGCCTTTATAATTAAGCCAATATTTAAAACCTATAAACCTATAACTTGTCTGATTAAGGAATATAGAAATTGTCAAATGTCAATGACCAAAGGGATGCCTTAATTGCAGCTGTGATACAGTTGCTAGCTACAATGGACATATGATTTAATTTACAGATAAAACCATTTCTTTCACCGAAATACAGTCAAGTGCTTGACTATACCATTTAAGTTTAACAATTGAAACCATGAAACGCTTTGTACAATTTTGTTCTCATTTGTACAACATGCAGTGGTTAATTTAAGCGTGTACTGTGAGACACAATGGCCAATACCACTTGTATATTCTTCAACCGTTTAACTACAAATATGCTTAAAAGCTTAATTCTCTTGCCACTTAGGACAATAATAGCAAAACGCGTAAAAAAAATTATACAATTTTCTCCCAATTCACGCAACACGCAGGGGCAACCATATGGGGTAAAATACAATGGCCCAAATTTGTCGTGTGTTTTTAAACACGAAGACTAGGGCCGTAGCCTGCTCCCTTGAGCCGCTGCTCGACGCAAAAGCGGTATGTTTAAAAATATCTTCGAATTCTAAGAGGTTATAGAGATATAACGTAAGCTAGCTAACGTTACTATTTAGTGATTTCTGTGAAAGAGTGTAGTTCCGCTCAAAATCGAACAGAACTCATGACGATTTTAAATCTCTTGCTGACAAGTGAGAAGCTAAAGGTTTAACGTTTAAGACTATTGCCTTAGCTAACACGGAGTACTGAACATGTTCCCTGTGGAATAGTGTTATTACAAAGAGTACCTGCTCTATCCAAAACTATCGAATTGAAGCACGAGGTTCAATTGAAAATATAACCTCAGCTGGTGCAGATTATTTTATTTTCTAAATAACAATGTAAGAGCCTAGGATTACTGTTATGCGCAATATCGTACCGTTAAATAAAGATTTAAAACTCTCGCGCAAAAGAGAAGGAATCCAAGGCTTTGTATATTGTTCCTGCTAACACAGGCTACGTTTGTCGATGGAGAATAGTCTAACCTGGCTGCTAGCACTAGATATCGTTTTACGCAAATTCCTGCTATAAGATTGTAACTCTATCGCTTCAGGAGCAATGTAGAATACTTCCCCTCGGCACTAAGTTTAAGAATATCAACCTATATTATTATTACCCTAGCTGATACAGATGAATTCGGGTTCCTATGAAGAATTAAATAAGAACCAACGTACTAAACTTGGACACAAAATATATGAGGATACAATAAAGATTTAAACGTCTCGCTTACCTGAGTAGCCCTGATTTCGTGACTTGGCTGGACTTGAGTGACTCAAAAGTAATTGATTGGTTGTTCAAAGTTGTTCACACCACTAATCCCAACACCTTGGTTCGACGTATGGAACTCCACTAACTTTTCGTGAGTACAAGCGATTTCGGCAGTTCCGTATGTCGATAATTCTTATCGTATTAGCTGTTGAGTGGCCTTCTTAGAACGCAAAAGCGATTATAGGACGCCTCGAGAACGTTTGTATTACGTAGTTGGTGAAAGCTAAAGTCAACTCAGCGTATCCTAACTCGAGTAAGTGTATATAATACGACTTATAGCAGCTCAAAACCGACTTTCACACCATGTCCTAAAAGTGTCGCAATAAAATTGTTCTTGCGTATAGCCGACCTCGTCAGTGCTAAAACAGTACGCGCAAATTATCAGAGTCTCGCAGATTATGCTAATTCGGTGTTCAGTTTGATATAACCGATTCCAGCGTCTCCCCAAGGATTGTTTACTTTTTTGATGGGATGTTTGGTACAGCTGATCTGGCCCGCCGATAACGTCAGTTCTAAAAGAGTTCGCTAAGAGTTTCTCACCGATCGCTGATATCGATTGTTCAAATGTCCACAGTCTATGTACTAATTTCCTTGGTTCCTGATCCGCTCTTCAAAAGTCGTGTGTACTTTAAAGCGTGCAAACACGTCTGATCTAGCAGTTCAATAGCAACTATTTTGGCGTGCTACTGTAAACCGAACTGACGTACGTTGCGCTAATTATGCAAATATCCAGGTCGTTGAACCACAGCAACGAATCCCTAAGTCTCTCTCCTTGAGAATTGTGTGTATTTTAAAGAACGTTAAACGGCTAATCTAGTAGTTGAATTCAAACGCGTTTAACCACCAGCGTGTAGCTAGCGTGATATACACTCGCTCTAATGAGGCGGTCATATGCTCGCCCGATAATAAATGCATGCCGGGGTTAATAGAAACGCACAGTAGGCCCGACTATGATTGGCAATATACGGCCTTGTGCACAGTTGGAGGACGCGGTTGCCGTAGCGCTTATTGACATGCATTCGTTTACAAAATTAGCGCAAAAACCCAACTGTTTCAGGCAATGTTTACACACGAAACACGACGCAAATTATACAAATGTTACCTCTCGCTAAACTGCTCGCCCAAGTTGTGCGTTTTTGCGCAAATTTTGCCAGAGCGGTGCGCATTTTGCGTTCAAGGGAACCGAAGTTGCAGCGCGGTGCGTTTGATCGCCTCAAATCATCGGGCGGAAGTTAGGGGGGAGGAACCAGTAGCAAATTTTTTCAGGCTGGGCCCTAAACCGCAGCCAAATGTTGATTTCAGTTCGAAAAAATCATTTTAAACTCCGTTTTGACAACCTGTATCGAGGCAAAACTCGTGCTTTAAAAACGACGATTGAACACGGTCTCCGCGTGAAAAACGAATTTAAACTCTTCAAAGTGGAAAATTTTCTAGAAAACATGATTCAGTGTGCCACAATCAATATATGTCCTCTTTAACACATTCTTTGAATTTATTTCAGCTGCGAGGCTTTTAAAAATTGCCGAATAAAAACGTATGCTTTAAAACTCAAACTTAAAATCTTCTTAGACTTGTCAGAAACTACTTTGAACGATTCACCAAGTAAAATTTGTTAGGAAACATACATTCACTGCGCTGCAATGCTTTAGCCTGACACATTCTTTAAATTTATTGTGGGTGTTTAAGATTGCTGAATGAGTTTGCCAGCTATGTTTTGTGTATATCATCTCGAAACTCCTCGTGCATTCAAAACAATAAACTTCGGAGTACAAGTCTTCGCGAAATGAAATTTGCTAGAACAACATGTCCTACAATGCCACATTCTTTGCCGATTTATTTTAGCTGGAAGGCTTTTAAAATTGCTGAATGAGTTTCGAGGACTCAAGCTGGGCATCAAAAGCTATGCCCTAATCGCCTTAATGCAAGTATTTTGACAAGGCAAACATAGTGTACACTAGATGGTCTTACGGTGTAAAACACTCGGAAACACTTAGCAGTAACTTTTAAGACTACTAATTAGCGTGTATGTTTCACACTAGTCCTATTAACCCCTCGCTTTGGGAATTATGAACAAATTTTTGTCGCAGGTATTACGCATGTGTCGCAAAACACAATTCTACTTTGTCTCGCAACCGAAACAATATATCTTTGTCTTACGCCAGACAATTTTAAATTCTCTGTCAGATGCCAAAATATTCTGCGATAAGCTGTCGTTGTTTGTGTTCCGCTTGAAAAAAACGCGCAGGTGCAGTGTAGGGATTATTCTAGAATGCTTATTTAGTTTTTTTGTGATGGACCTGATTTTATTTTGTCAATTTTTTTTTTGAAATTATTCTTAAGGATAAAACAATCGGTCACCGGCTTCGTTTATCAACATTCATCTCGGTCTGTTGGCTATAACAGCATGTCTAAGATGTATATATATATTATCAGTCAAATTTCTTATCTGTGAAAGTAATTTAGATTAATTTACGCGTAAAGTATACACAGCCCGACACTTTCCAAACAAATTTATGATAACAATTCAAGTTTGTTAGTTTTTGATCTGATTTCTGTGTTTATTTTGTTTGAAAGAGTTTTTGCATATGTTGCGTCGACGCAATAATTAATGATCTCAAAATAAAACAACTCCAGTGCGCGTCCGAATGACGCATTTTGCGTCGGGACCAGGGTTCGAAGTAGAGAAAAAATATGGCCTGTCAATCCAAATTTTTTTGGCAGGTGAAATAAAGTTTAGCCTGCCACTTTTATTTATTGAACTGCCAAAATGGCGATGTCTCATATGAATCATTGTAAAAATCAATGTTTTTAAGATACGCATTTTTATTATTTTTAAACTTGTTTATTTTACTACAGTAAACTTGGATTTACATTGGAAATATAAACTTATTTAGTCAACTAAATGATCTAGTATATATGAGTTGTGGTAAGCAAATGAAATGAAATATAGAATTACCTGCCATTTTTTTTTGACTTGGCAATTCAAATTTGTTTTTGCCTGCCATTTCTACAAAATATGTTTTTAGCTATTGGATATATTGCATTTGAATCGTGCCATATAGCTGAAACTTTCTTTATTTGGCTTTACACATAAGACAAAATATGAAAAGCTATAAGCCGTGAAACACAAATAGTGATCGAACAGGTCAATACTTTGACATGTACATTTTAATGCTTGCTGCATGTCCCAACTGTAATTTATCGCGAAGCAGAACATGTCATTTCGATGGGCAGTGGAATCTTTGAATTGGCTTGTTGTATTGCCGTCTTCTCAACACCGAAACTATATTGTTTTGTATTCGCGAAATCTGTAAGGCCGAAACCGCACTACCTAAAATTGACACGATGAAACAGGATGAATTTGAGCACAACTGACCGTGTGAATTCCCGTGTGAGCAAGTACAACCGGACGGATATATTTGCTGAATCAGAACTATGAATGCAATTTAAACTCCATCTTTTCCTGACGTGCTAGAAGATTCCTTTGAGTCCAAGTCATCAGTTCTCAGGAAAAAGAATCCGCTAGGCAGTTTTGTGATAAGACATGATTGGAAAACTGGCAGACACCGTAAGACATAGCTTAAATCTCGCTCAGTGACATAAAATAATTTTTCACAGTTAGTTTGTTCGTATAGATTTTTAGTAGAGGCAAAAATTATGTTTATATAGACTGAAAAAACCTCTGGAATGACAGGACTGTATTGTTTTGTTGCAATCTTGCCCCAATGGCGTTGTTTTGATGTGATCATTTTCCCGTTTGACCGTGAAATTCCACCTAGCCGGGTTGCATCGTTTCTCGTATCAGAAATTGAATTTTATATGCGTTATCAGAGGACATGCAGGTTTTACTCCGAGATGAGTTTCCATATTAGCTGAGCTCCTAAGAACAGCAGAGACCTCCGTACAACGAACATTCAGAATAAATACATTGAGTTCAAATAACATGGCGTAAAAATAAGGACGCAACAACTGGCAGGAATGAACTATTCAAAGTAGGGGGAGCCTACTAAACACCCCGAAGCTTAGGAAGGAATTAGTCGTTGTGGCTTTCATGGACGCAAAACACTCGATTCCCGTGGAGAACTAATCCAAATTCGCTGCGTGAGTATTTCTTCCATCCGGCTTTTCATAATGCGATACTGACACGGAATTTGTGTAATTTACTACCGGATTAGTCACGTTCAGAAGTGGTTGGCTCGAGAAATGCGTTTAAACCATTACAAACGTTTCTGTATCGTTTCCGCGTCTCGTTAATTTTATTGACCTTGTCACGGCTATAAAATTCGCGGCTTTTGACCGCAATGCATACTGGGAGTTAAATCTGAGTCCAGAATGGATCTTGTCGCAAGCATTGAACATCGCAATGCATTGTGGTGTCGATGCTACAGTGGTTGGCCTCGTGTGAGCAAGGCTTGCTTCCTGTAATATGCAGGTTTATTTTAATTTTGCCTCGTATGTGCCAAACACAGCATGTTTTCACCAAGTACTCCGCTTTCCTAATAATGGCCCGAGAAGGATGACCCTTACTGGACCTCTAGGAAGAACAGTTTAGAACTGATAGAGCCGCTATCCAGTATAAAGAAAGTTAGTTTAGTTTTGGTTTCCTCCTGTAGTGACACTGGATCAATAAGAGACGATCTTTACTGGACCTCTAGGGAGAACAGTTTAGAACTGATAGAGCTATCCAGTATAAATAAAGTTAGTTTAGTTTTGGTTTCCTAGTGTAGTAACACTGGATAAATAAGAGACGATCCTTACTGGACCTCTAGGGAGAACAGTTTAGAACTGATAGAACTAACCAGTGTAAATAAAGTTAGTTGAGTTTAAGTTTCCTCTTGTAGTAACACTAGTGGATCAATAAGTGATGATCCTTATAGGGCCTGTTCATATGGGCAAAAGTTATCCCGGTTAGCGAGAAAACTTTTCGACAAGTTTACAAGCGAGATCTCACCTTGGTATGAAAATAATATGAAAAGTTACACTGCGTTCATATGAGACAAAAAGTTTTCCCGTGTACCGAGATCTCGCTTCTTGACAGGCGAGATCTCGGTGACCGGGATAATGTTTTTCCCATATGAATACAACTTTCCCGCTTAGCGAGATAACTTTCTGTCGTGTCAGCAACTTTTCAATTCAATTGATGTTCAGTGCCACGTCACATCCGAAAACCTTACCCGGTAAGCGGGATAAAGTTTCTCGGAACAGAACAAAAGTATTTGGCTAGTCGAAAAGTTTTCTTGTTAACCGGGATAACTTTTGCCCATATGAACAGGCCCTTAGTCCTTACTGGATCTCTAGGGAGAACTGTTTAGAACTGATAGAACTATCCCGTATAAATAAAATTAGTTTACTCTTTAGTTTATGTTTCCTCCTGTAGTAACACGTACTATTGGATCAATAAGAGATGAATTATCTTTACTTGACCTCTACTAAGAACGGTTTAGAACCGATAGACGGCTATCCAGTATAAACAATTTAAAGTACGTTGTTCATTGTGGTCTTTTTAGCTTACGTAATGATTTTAAAAGTGTATTTTCGGTGACTGCACTGTGAGCATTGTTTAGAATACGGCAGGACATCGGTAATTAAAGCTCAAAGTTTTCTTTAAAAACAATTCCTTAAATGTTCACACCTACATCAGCGCACAAGCAAGTCACGATCATGGTATTTCTATTTTGCGCATGTGGGATGGCTCACGCAATATTTAACATATTTAGCATTGTTTTAAAGTTTTGATCAAGCCGCTTTCACTGTTCTTCTTAGATCTCCAGAAAGGAGCGTTCCTTTTTTCCTAGACTAGGAAGGAACCTAAACCACTAACTTGAAGATGTATTTACACTGGATATATATGTTAGTTCTAAATTGTTCCCTCTAAAGGTCTATCTTTTATTGATCCAGTGTTCCTACAGGAGGAAACCGCGATCCGCGAAACTAAACTAACTTTATTTATACTGGATATATAGCTCTGTCAGTTCTAAACTGTTCTTCCTAAGGTCCGGTAAAGATAATTTCTTATTGATCCAGTGTTACTACAGGGGGAAACCTAAACTAAACTAACTTTATACTGAATAGATTTATCAGTTCTAAACTGTTCTTTCTAGAGATCCAGTAAGAATCATCTCTTATTGATCCAGTGTTACTACAGGAAAAAAACCTAAACTAAACTAACTTTATACTGGATAGATCTATCAGTTCTAAACTGTTCTTCTAAGACTGTACGCAGGCTAGTCAGTTGCATAATTTGCGCCATTCAGAGTTCCCCAGAGTCTTCAAGAGCGCGCGACCGGTGTATGGGGAAACTAAGTCGTACCTTTGCGAATGCCACGCCCCCTTCCTGCCTACTTTAAAAAAAAAATCAAAATAATGAAAATATTCTTCGACACGCTTCTGTTGTTTTGAAAAATTTCTGCTTCGAAGCGACCAAAGCTGCTGCTTCAAATCCTTCGATCATGCATCAACAAGGGCCTGTTCCAACCAAAAAAGCTAAGATGGACGGAGACCAAGTAAGCTTTGTTTTACTGTTTTTAAAATGAAAGAAAGTAAGCGATATTTTGTGTAATAGAATGTTGTTCATTTTGTTCCAGAATGGAGGTTATGCTTATGTGCCAAGCGAGAAAATAGTAAATCCGAAAACGTCTTTAGTTTTTGCCCTCAAAGAAGAAGTAGGAACACTTCACGAGGCTTTGAAAGTTTTTAAGGTTGGTAGTTTTTAGTTTGGAATGTGCTGTGCTTACAAACGTTAGATTAGCTTAGCTTAGCTTTATAAACATTGTTTCTGTACTTTACTATGTACGAATACAAATTGTGTTTTAATTGTGTAAATATTGGTTTATTTGTGCAAGCGAGACCAAATTTAATTTCGATCTGTAAGCGTTGAGATCTGTTATTTTCACTGATTAAAATCCAGGTTTGAAAGCTTTGCGAAATAATCAAACTTGGTGTTTACAGTAACGGAGGGAATTTTATTATATACAGACCACATACTGATGTGAGATTCCTGTTTTATAAAATCTGTTAAAATGACGTGTTATTCGTCGTACGTGGGCTGGTTGTTCAAAAACCAGTTAGCTTAACCCTGGGTTAACGTGAAATTCAAAGCATAATTCCCATCAGCTTGTTTACAAACTTGCAATGTTTTTCAGAAATCTTGTCTGTATCATCACAGGTTTAATTTTTTAAAGTTTTGAAATAAACAGACATATAGATGTACAAACCAAAGCAATGGGTTTAAATTTAACCCACGGTTAGCGCTAATTGTGCTTTGAACAACCGTTCCCCTGTTTGAACCATATTAAGGCGACTGATCCAGACTAATTCTTATTGTTCAACATGACTTGATAACAGTAATTACAAGCAAATGTCAACCCTGGAGGCATTATTACAGAAAGCCTAATTTTGATATTGTAATATTGTGATATTGTTCTGAGAAATTGCATTTATTTCCTGCATAGGAGGGGGGCTGTGGACATCCTTTATGAATAGACTGTTTCCCCAGATTTCAACTGGTTTATAAAACCTCCAGAACGCGATAGTGACTTCGTCCCCACTTATTAAAACAAGAAATTTCATTTCTTAACAAGATATTTATCAATTGTTGATGAAGATTATTAATAGATGATTGTTGATCAAGATTATTGATTGTTCAAGAATATTGATTGATGATCATACTGTAATTATCGATTTATTACCACCAGCAGTGAATACATCTCTCAATTTTATTCAGTTATTTTCCTCTAAAAATGACACTACTACAGTACATATTATGAAAAAAATGAACATCATCTGTTGTACCATTGCTATTTAGTAAAATGTAAAATTTGGAAAATATTTCAGGACAACGGCATAAACTTGACCCACATTGAATCGCGACCTGCGGATAGTCAATCATCACATTTTGAGTTTTTTGTTGATTGCACTGGCACAAAAGACAAACTTGATCCAGTGCTGAAAAAACTTGAAGAAAAAGCTGAGAAAATCAAGGTTTTTGCTGGCGAAAATGAAGAGGGTAAGCTAATAAGCTCCCCTTTCTAATAAGCCTCCTCTCTAATAAGCCCCCTCTCTAATAAGCCCCCTCTCTAATAAGCCCCCTCTCTAATAAGCCCCCTCTCTCTAATAAGTTCCCTCTCTAATAAGCCTCCTCTCTAATAAGCCTCCCTTTCTAATAAGCTCCCTCTCTAATAAGCCCCCTCTCTCTAATAAGTACCCTCTCTAATAAGCTTCCTCTCTAATAAGGCCCCTTTCTCTTTTCAGCCCTCCTCTCTAATAAGCCTCCTCTCCTCTCTAATAAGCCCACCTCTCTAATAA